CCGTTATTTTACTGTTTTTAGAAAAATCTCTTTTGAAATGTTTTAAGTATAAAACAATTTAAGAAAAATACTTAGAAAAGAGTCTCCATTTAATTTTTTAAAGAAATTAAGAAAACTTAATTTAAAAAGAGTTTAACGGATTAAATCTTTATGGGTAAGAGGTTCTTATTTACGCTTCAAGAAGGTTTTTAAGGCATTTGACTATTTTTTAGAAAAGTAATTAACTCGAGGAAATAGTTAAACAAAGAACATTTTAAAATTTTTTGAATAAAAGAGGATATTAATTGAAATATCTGTAATAAATTTCAAGCGATTTAGATTTTACTAAATTAGATAGATTAAAATTTATTTGATATGTTTTTAAATACCAATTTAAACCAATTCAGTTATATAAGTATGAAACCCATTTTAAAGATATTCAATAAAAATAATGAATTTTGTCAAAATAAACTAACATAAAGATTATAGTTCATCTTTTGGGGAATTTAATTTAGTTAAACCAAAACAAAACAAAGGTTAGACCTAACACAAAATCGAACCAAACAATTTGCAAGTAAAATGTAATCAAGCAATGAAAGAAAATAATGAGTTTGGGCCTTTCTTGGCCCCTAACCCTCACAGCCCAACTGATTGGGCTGCTGCTGCAATTGTATTGGGCTTTGACCCCATTTTTGCCTATGAAATCTGTGTATACACAGAGTGTATACTGATGTATACGGGTCATATCTTGACTGATTTTCCTGAATATTGGACTTCCTATCAAATAAAATATAGCCTATTTAAACCTCTGAAATATGTCATTTGATTTTTTCCCGTATCTTGCTTCACTCGATAAGGATCTCAAGTAAACGAAATGCAGGGAATGAGTCCAAAATGGACTTGGATTGTTGTCAAATGTATCAAAAATAAAGGGAAAAGGAATAAGTGAAGCATTTTAACAATTCGTATATATAAGTATGTATTCAATTAGAGATAATTGTGATACAACTTATTCAAGACTACAAGTATTAACAGAGAACATAGGCATCAAAAGCATCACTAATGTTCTGCAGCTGATCTTTATACAGTCCTTTCATTAATTTAGTCTTGAAAAATTAATACACATCTCATGCTCAATCCTTTAGAGAATTGAAACGGAAAGAAATTTTTCACACACTTAGATAAAACATATTTAAAAATAACATGATCTCAACAACTTAAAAATAACAATCTAACTTTCAAGACAAATCTATGAGTAAAATTTTAAAGAGACACACATTAAGACTAAAATATGCAGACACTGAATTTTAATCACGAGCCAAGAGAGGAGGTACTTTAAAGTTTGAAAAGAAAGTGATGAACAAATTATGATAAAAAAGAACCTAGATGGAAATCCAATTCCCACTCCTAGTGCTATTTATCTAAACAACATAACTTAAAAAATGTTAACCATTTTAAAAGGGAATTACGACAAACCTTATGGAGAAAAATCCAAACAATGACCAAGATATCACTTATGCATTCTCGAATAATCTGTTAAAAAATTACATTAGACAAAACTCGAATACAAATGGTAAATATTGTGACTAAACTCTAAACCAAATAGAAATATAGCCTCAAACCGAACAAAGCATGTTGGACAGTAAGACAATCATAGGATTTTAAAAAATGGAGAAAACCAACTGCTTACAACAACAAACAATAAAACGACAAACAAATGGTTTAAGGTCTTCCCCTATTTTCAAAATTAAAACGCCCTTAACAGTAACCGAGTAAATGCACTCTTTGATGTTAAAGAAAATGAGAACGAAACAATAGGAATTCAGCAACCATCAAACAAGCATACAAGAGGAAAAATAACAAAGCAAACTTGAACAGAGAAACAACAACATTATATACAAATTTCCAAAGTTTTAACTCGGCCAAATCATAGAATCACACGAGGACATGTATCATCTTAAGAACATTATAAACTCAGCAACATACTATCAAATAA